TGGGCAATGGAAAAAGAGTACCGATGGAGTTCATTAGAGTAGTTTCGACTTCTTTTGGGTTTTGATTTTATTTTAGATTTAGAAGACGTTATTTATGTACCTTCTATGAGAAGAAATTTGGTTTATGTTGGCGAACTCATGAAGAATAAGTTTTTTTTTTCTTTTTTCCAAATTTTAATGAAGATGGTTTTGATATTAGTCATAAGTTGAATTATATTGGAAGTGGTTTGTTTGTTGATGGTTTGTTTAAGCTAAATTGCAAGGTTCCTTTTGTCCCTATTAACACCGTAGTAATTAAAACAAGGATTCAACCAATGAAACTTCATCCAAGTTATGGAACAAGCATTTAGGACATATATCAAAGGAACAAATGCAAACTGGGAGAGCTAAGTTTATTCATTGGTTTTATTGTCCAAATCACACCACAAGAATTATTGAAACTGGGAGAGCTAAGTTTATAGAAGAGTCTATTGGTGATTTAGAGGTTGAAAGCTTCAGCTTTGAAGAAAAAAAAGAAGTTAATCAACAAGAGGTTGTTCTACAAGAGGATGTTGTTGTCCCCACCATGGCAGCAAGTGAGCAAATCCCACTTCCTAATGCTCACGTGGAAAATGAGCAGCAAGAAATAACACGTGATGACCATGATATGCCAATTCAAGTGAATGAGCCTATAGTCCTTGCTAACAATGTCGACAACCAAAACCAATTTACGAAAATCCCAAAGAACTGGAAAGCCTGCAATATCGGATGATTTTCTTTGTTATCTTCAAGAATTTGAATTTAACTTGGGAGAGCTTGATGATCCAATTACATTCAAAGAAGCCATGACTAGTTCTCAAAACAAAGAGTGGTTGAAACCATGAAGTCTGAGCTTGAATCAATGAGTAAAAATGGAGTTTGGGAGTTAGTCCAATTACCAAAGGGGTGCAAGGCTATAGGATGTAAGTGGGTATTCACAACCAAAAGAGATTCTAAGGGAGACATAGAGCAATATTTAAGGCTAGATTAGTAGTCAAGAGTTTCATACAGAATGAAGGAATTGACTACAATGAGATATTATCTCCAGCTTCTACCAGAGATTCATTTAGAGTCATAATGGCACTCGTAGCTCATTTTGACTTATTTCTACACCAAATGGATGTAAAACCACATTCTTGAATGGAGATTTAGATGAAGAAATTTTCATGAAGCAACCTGAAGGGTTCATTCAAAAAGGGAGAGAGAATTTGGTGTTTAAGCTCAAGAAATCCATTTACGGTTTGAAACAAGCCTCAAGACAATGGTACTTGAAATTTCATCAAGCTATGCAAGATTGTGGTTTCATTGAAAATCCGTCTGACGAGTGCATATATCTAAAACTCAATGCGAGGAATTTTATAATTTTAGTCCTTTATGTAGATGACATCTTGCTATTTAGCACCAGTCTTACCCTACTCCATGAGACAAAGTTTTTCTTGTCTAATAAATTTAAGATGAAAGACATGTGAGAGGCATTGAACGTTTGGGGATAGATATCACTAGAGATAGGAAGAATAAAATACTTGGCTTATCTCAAAAAGCTTACTTGAACGAATTCTTAAAGGGTTTGAGATGCAGGATTGCAATGGTTGTAACATTCCCATGGAAAAGGCAAACAAGCTAGGTAAATTTCAATGCCCCCAAACTGAAATTGGAAGGGTAGACATGGCTGGAAGACATTATGCTTCTCTTATTGGAAGCCTTGTATGCACAAGTGTGCACTAGAGTTGATATTGCTCAAGCAATTGGTGTTTTGTCTTGATATCAATCTAAGGTTTCATGCATTGGATGGCTGCAAAAAGAGTCATGAGATATCTGAAAATGACTAAAACTTATAAGCTTTGTTATAGAAGGACCAACAATCTTGAGTTGATTGACTACTCAGATTCAGATTTTACGGGGTGTGCAGATTCTCTCAAGTCTACTTCTAGCTATGTTTTCATTCTCGACGGAGAAGTTGTGTCTTGACAAAGTGTAAAACAAGGCGTCTACTATACAAGCTGAGTATGTAGCTTGGTATGAAGCCACTTAGCAAGGTGTGTGGTTGAAGAACTTCATATCTAGCATGAATGTTGTCGAATCGATTGCTAGGCTTATTCAGTTATGGTGCGATAACAAAGCCGCTATTTTCCATGCTCGAAAAAACAAAAGGTCTTATGAAACTAGACATTTGAATCTCAAGTATAAGATGATTCGCAAGGAAGTCAAGAAGCAATAAGTCAAAATAGATTACAGTAATACTTGGGACACTTTGGATGCGGCCTTTAACTATCAATGTTCTTTGATTGAAACCTTTGTGATGTTTAGTTTTTGATCGAAGTCCCTAATAGTAATGTAATAATATATTTCTATATAAGTTATTATATTTTTAACTTAAAAATAAAATTTGTGGTTATTTATATTAATGAGATTTAAAATAAAACCCATAATTTATGGGATTAAAAATATTAAAAATAAATTATACTCTCCAATATATTGTGTGTATCCATATATATATATATATATATATATATATATATATATATATATATATATATATTATACATGGGTATGTTCATAAAAAAAAACTAACCAAAAAATTATTGTACCAAAACATGGGTCATTTTTAAAAAACACAAAAAAAAAAATATATATTAGGCTTAATAACATTATCAAATTTCTTCTATTAAACTTGACATAGATACATTTTCAAATCAACGAAATAGAATGTACCCATATAAGTTTTAAAATGGATTAGAGAAAATATTGAATGAATTTTATATAAAAAATGGGTACATTGTGTATTAAAAAAAGGGTACATTTTTCATATAATAAATTGGTACATTAAGAATGGGTACATATTAAATTTTTTTTTTACAAAAATTTAATGGGTACAAACTTATTCTAATTTTATTTTTTATATTTTGAAAATGTTTGAATTGAAAATTAATTAGGATTTTAATACGGGTGTGAGTATTAAAACTCTAAATCAATCACTAATTTTTATTATAAAAATTATGTAACTTACATGTAATTCACTCATATATTAATGATAGGGACTTTGATCAAAATCTAAAAACTAATAAGGTCTTAATCAATGAATATTAGAAACTAGGGACCGGATACTAATTTTTCCTTAATATTTAATCAATGTTGGCGGATCCACTCAATAAAGTTATTCCTAATGCAGCATTCGATATGCATGTGAAGAACATGGGCTTAGTTTTTGATTTTGATGCACTGAATTAGTGGGAGATTCATGTTTTCTAATTTAATTAGTTCTCTCTTGCATTCATTCTGGAGTTTAGTCACTATGACTATTATATTGTTTTTTGCTGGTTCGTGAGTTTTGGATTATAAGTTTGAAGCATTTTCAGTTATTTATTATGATCTTGTTCAATATATGCGGCTGCTTGAATGCAGAAGTGAAAAGTAAATTTAATGCTTTAAAGTCACAAGCATTTACAAAATGATCTGAAGAATGTTTTCAGATATTGTTTTCATTAAAGATGGAAAACTAAGTTGTTCTGGTACAGTTACACCAGTCGTCATGCACCAACTGGATTTTGGACATAAGGTTTCAGTCATCATTCTTCATTCACCAACTGGATTTTGGACATAAGGTTTCAGTCATCATTCTTCATTCTTTTAACGGTTTCTGGAGGGCTTCCTTTGAAAGCATTAAGCAGGCTAAAATGATCTAATCAAGGAAAACCTTACAAATTAAAATATCAATATATTACATCAAGCTTGATATTTATATTTCAATGTTCTCACTTATTGGTGTTTTACATGATTGACCATGCTCACATATGTGATTATGAAAACTAGACGTTAGGCGTATCTTCTGTTGTTGATAATTGCAAGTGTACACTATCGTTCAAGTGATATAGTAACAAGTAGAGTGTCATTCAAATAAGGATCGGATTAACCTAAATTTACTATTGAGATTGACTTCAAACTAAACTTAAATAAAAGAAGGATTACGATAGCAACTTCAAATATGCAAAGAAACGAAATGAAAGTAAAAATAATAATTGATCGAACACGAAGCAAAAGTGAATGAATTATGCAAGATTAATATATGAAAGCACTAGGACATCAGGTTATGATCAAACTAATAACAAACATGAATGAATTCGATGACATAAAAGAAAACAACCAAATTTCAATCTCGACTCCACGGCAAAGCTTGAATCTCCAATTTCTTCTTTTCCGTTGGCTGATGTGTATCCTGGGGGTATGGAGACTCCTCCTGAATGTCTGCGTGTTTTCAATCCTCCCCCAAAAATCCTTGCTGCGCTGATCTCCAAAAAACCCCTTTAATTCTCCCCCCGTCTGCCTCTTAATAAGGGGATTAAAAACCTTCTCATTCTTGGAAAAGTCCAACGCCATTTTTTATGAAGCTCAAATTAGATTTAATTTGATAAAGCCCAAATTCCACAACTCTCACATAGCTGCAGTCCAGTTCGTTATTCCTTCATACTTTCTTTATAATTCTTCTTAAAAAAAACACACTTATTTCTGACTATTATTTCTACAAAACTCACACAAAACACATCAAACTCACCAATTTAATATAAAATCATGACCAAATAATAAGTAAAAGAGGTATAAAACATGCATATAATATCACCCTAACATCTTCCCATGAGAAAAGTCTCATGGATCATTTTATTCCTTCAGGAACTGCTGGAATTTTAGTGCTCTGCCCATTTTCAGGGTTCAATCTAAATATAAAATGCATACTTCTAAAGGCACTGAACCATTTCACTAGTTTCAAAGAGAGGATAAGAGAAGCAATTGTTTTTTGTAATTGCAAGATTTATCTTGCGGCTTTTCCTGACGTGAAATAATGAACTTCTTGGACTATCCGTGTGGATGAGAGTCCTCGCTGCCCAGCCACAGATGAGCACAATAAAACATAAGGGATAATGTTAAGGAGACTAAATTTTTAAACCAAATTTGCAAACCAAATGTGTTACTAATAGAAAATAAGCACGTTAACCAATACTTAAACAATAATCAAATCATCAACAACCACATCATTTGGTTTACAAATTTAATTTAAAAAGTTTGATCTTCCTAACATTATATAGACATAAGAGAATATGTACGTAGTTTAGGGAGCTAGAAAATCGACAAGTTCCGAAGAACATTGACCTTTTATTTTATAGTCAAACACTGTCCTGCATTAAATGTTACACAGAAGTGGAGGTTGGAACCCATACAAGATTATCAGCGGGAAAGAAATGGCACACAGGGGAAGGCCCTGGCTTAATCCTAAGGACTTGAAATGAAGCATGATTAGGGCTCCACTGAGAGGTGTCCAAGTGGCAAACAGCAACAGCATCCACTCTATCTCCATCCTCACCACCTAATGAAACCTTGTAAACCTTGTTCAACCTTTCTTGGCTGTGACAGTAGAAAACGGCATAAGGGTAAGGCATGGTGTGACATGCCATCATCTTGGGAGCTAAAACCTCTTTAGGCTCTTCCAAAATAGTGTAGTTCTGGAAATGGGTGGATGAGTTTGTGAGATGGGTACACAACACGGAAAGTATTATCCAATCCGAAGATGCTGCGTGCAAAGTCAAGCATTGATTCTAAAGAAGTAGCACATGACTTGATCTCTTCTTTGATGGGTGCAGTCTCACAATGTCTAAGAGTATCTTCCATGGCTTTGGCTTGGGGAGAGTCTTGAGAGAAGGAAAAAACTTGAAGAAGGTAGTGGAGTTGTTTTGAGGAGAAGGGAAATAAATCAGCTTCTACTCTTGGCAACAAGTGGGGAGATTTTGAAAGGTTTCTTTTGGGAAAATAGATGGCCATTGTTTTCCCCAGCTTTAGGTCCTTCAAGGTGAAGAAAATCATGAGGGAATGGTCCATGTGATGCATGTGGGATGATGGATGAGCATGGTCATGATGTGTAGTTTCATGGCCACATCACCATCTGTCTTAGCACGAATTCTTCTTAATGTCTCTTCCTTCCATTCCCTGAGGACACTGTATAATATATAACAAATTGATAAGATTGCCATTGTTGCAGTATCATGAGATTTTTCTAATTAAAAGTATAAGAATTAGTAGAGAGAGAAATGAAGTGTTACCATGACAAGCAGTAGGAGATGAAGTATGGGGATCAAGAAAGTTCCTTCCTTTGAACTTACAGGTGCTTACCATTAATTTCTTCCACTAATTTTGATAGAGCAGAAGTGCTGAAAGAGACCAAAATCTATAGGTTTTCCGCAGCAGCTGGCACGCTGTGTAGATCAACTTTTTATATCACATTTATAAATCATGTTATGTATCATCAATAGAAAATAAGTATATTGCTCTATATTTATACTTAAGTAATAATCGAATTATTAACAGTCACATTATATGGTTCACAAAATATAGTTTAAATAGATAGTTTTCTTAACATTTTCATAGTTTTTTATTTTTGGGGACAAATTAACATTTTCATAGTCTAAATACTCAATAATTGGTTAGGAAAAGTGTACAGTTTTATGTTTCACATTTTAATTGTGGCAAATGCATTATTGACTTGCAAGTGCTAGGCCAGTTGGCCATCCACTTGTTGTCTTTAATTTGTCTTGTTATAATTATTGCTATTCTTATCCACTAAACAATAGACACATGCGTTTTTGTTTTCTTTGTTTTTGATGTTCTATCATTACTGTTATCTTCCACGAAGATTTAAAAGTATCTTTATCATTCATTTATGATTTCTTGATATCCATGTATTCCATGTGATTGTGAGCCCTTTGCTTCTTGGAGCCTCTTCTTTCACTTACATGAAGCATCCCAATTAGGGGTGGATTTTTTTTATCAAATTGCCGTGCCAACCGAATTGCCAACCGTGCCATACTGATTTTGTGCCAATCGATAATGGTACAGTATTGTACTGTACCGAAATTTCATGGTACGGTATTGGTAATGGATACCATTACCACTGTATTACTGTACTGTATCGAAAATACAATATAATGTATAATTTATAAATTATATAATAGATAATTGTATAACACATATTTATAATATTCCAATAATTTGAAAATAAAACCCTACTTATATTAGCATTATTGTTGGTAACTTTGATCTCTTGAAATGGTGGAAATCAAACACAAAAGAGTTCCTAATTCTTTCACAAATAGCCAAGATATCTTTGTAACCCTCACTTCTATCGTTGCTAGTGAAAATGCATTTAGCCTAGGGAGGAGGGTTGTGGACCCTTTTAGGGCATCTTTGACTCCTAAAATAGTAGAGGCCCTAGTGTGTACTAGTGGTTGGCGTAGGGTAGATGAAGTAGACTTCTACAAGGAACCAACGGAAGATATGCTTCAATTTTACAAGGAAATTGAAGAAGAGGAAACAAGAAAGATATGCTTTAATTTTTTTTTAGTAAATTTGTTATTAAATGGTTTTTCAACTTTAATTCTTCTTGTTCCTAATTAATATGTTTTCTTTGTTTGTAATGTAGACTTGACACAAGCTCAATCTTTTACAAGTTCAATGCCTCCTCCAAAAGCTTCAACATCTCAAGCTTGAATAACTGATCAATGAATTCTACTTTTTGAAGTTTAGTTCCAATTTTCATTTGGTTTGAAACTTTAATTTCTATTTGGATTGTTAACTTCTATTTGTTTTGGTTCGTAACTTCTATTAGGATTGTAAGCTTAATTTTCGTCATGAATCTTGATGCATCATTTGAATTATTATGTGTGTGAATTATGAACGATAAATAATAGATGAATTTAAGCTAAAAATGTATGAGATAAAGGTACAAAAAAAAAGTTTTGCCCTTGAATTGGGTTAAAAAAAAATAAAAACAGATTTTGTCCCAAAACAAAATGGCAATTACCATTACCATACCATGCCAACCGAACGGTATACCGAAAATTTGGTACGGAAATGGTAATAAATTTTACCAAACTGAATGTTTAGTACGGTAATTGGTACGAGGATTTTGGTACGGTAACCGTACCGAACCCACCCCTAATCCCAATAATTGCGTTTCATGTAAATAATAAAAAATATATATGTAAATTTTTATTTATATAATATAATTACGCAAAACATCAAAGTTACTTGTATCATAGTAGTTGTTTTCCCAAAAAAATCACAACGAAGAAAAGCCCCAAAATAAAATGTTATACGAGTGGTATTGGACTAGTGGAGGGAATGGAATTCACAAAACTTCGGGTTGCAATATAAACATTCTTGCAATAAGTTTAGCATATAGCTTTATGGCCTTTTTTTATTTTTGTGGTCCATATGGTGAGACACCACACCTTAATTTTAATCTGGCTCCTATGGTAGAAGAAGCTGTTATTCATGACCTTGTAATCAAGTCTGTTAGCAATACCGATCCAATTTGTAATTTTCTTCATTGTTTATTAAATATCTGTTAAGATTTAAGAGCACATATGCCCTTCGTTCCTATTGGCTGTCTCAACCGATCATAAACTACCACATAAGCGTGTATTTTTTTGTAATCAAAGAAAAACATACTCAAAAATCCCTCACACTAATCTTCCTTACAGTCCTCTAGTTCTCAAGAAATAAAAATGGCAGCCATGGAAGGTGTTCTTCAATGAAGAGACTGAACGATGTTGTGCAGCAACAACTGAACCTCGACTCCGTCAAAACTCGAGCCATTAATCTCTTCAAAACTCAAGCAAGCTCTTCAACATCGTTGGATGACCTTTAGATCTCTAAGGCCTTCGTTGTTCATTCCAAGAAAGTAAATGCTGAAAACTATACAATTGTTGCCCGTGATGCGACTGATGCATTGAAGCTATTGCCTGAGATGACGGTGGAAGAAAATTTCAGAGAGAACTTTTTTATGTAATGTTGGAGATGAGGATATTTGAAGAGGTAGATGAAGGTCAATTTTCTGCTGCAACATTTCAGAGTTTTTTTCGTGTATTTGGCAACCAGGTTCATGTAATATGGTGCTCAAGGGCTTGCTAGTTAAGTTCGCCTTGTCAATTGACAAGTTCGTAGTTGGGGTTAATTATGATTATACGATAAAAAATCTACCGTAAAGGTCTCTGCTGATAGCAGCAGTAATGAATAATGGATTGTCACGTATAAGAATAAATATATATACATGCATTAGTGGATGTTAAAAAAAAAATTTCTATTTCAAGTAGAGAACAACAACAACAACAAAGCCTTTTCCCACTAAGTGGGGTCGGCTATATGAATCCTAGAACGCCATTGCGCTCATTTGTGTCATGTCATCCGTTAGATCCAAGTACTCAAGTCTTTTCTTAGAGTCTCTTCCAAAGTTTTCCTAGGTCTTCCTCTACTCCTTCGGCCCCGAACCTCTGTCCCGTAGTCACATTTTCGAACCGGAGCGTCAGTAGGTCTTCTTTGCACATGTCCAAACCACCGGAACCAATTTTCTCTCATATTTCCTTCAATTTTGTCTACTCCTACTTTACCTCGGATATCCTAATTCCTAATCTTATCCTTTCTCGTGTGCCCATACATCCCACGAAGCATCCTCATCTCCGCTACACCCATTTTGTGTACGTTGATGCTTCACCGCCCAACATTCTGTGCCATACAACATCGCTGGCCTTATTGCCGTCCTATAAAATTTTCCCTTGAGCTTCAGTGGCCTACGACGGTCACACAACACGCCGGATGCACTCTTACACTTCATCCATCCAGCTTGTATTCTATGGTTGAGATCTCCATCTAATTCTCCGTTCTCTTGCAAGATAGATCCTAGGTAGCGAAAACGGTCACTTTTTGTGATCTTCGCTAGATTGCTCCGGTCATTAGTGTGGATAAGTATATAAATGGATAGAGATAGGAAAGCAAACACAAGATGTACGTGGTTCACCCAGATTGGCTACGTCCACGGAATAGAGGAGTTCTCATTAATTGTGAAGGGTTTACACAAGTACATAGGTTCAAGCTCTCCTTTAGTGAGTACAAGTGAATGATTTAGTACAAATGACATTAGGAAATATTGTGGGAGAATGATCTCGTAGCCACGAAACTTCTAAGTACCGGAGTGTGGTATCGTCTTGACTTGCCTTATCTGTCTCATAGGTAGATGTGGCATCTTCTCTGGAAGTACTCTTCCTCCATCCAGGGGTGGTATCTGTAACTGGTGGAGATGCACAAGGTAATGTATCAATTTCAATTGAAGCTTACTTGTAGTTTCATGCTTGGTCAAGCGAGATACAAACCATGTAGTAGGAGTCCCCCAAGTCGCCGAGCTGGGGGATCTGCTGAAAGAGGTGACAGACAAGGTAAGCAATCAGAGCTCTGGCTGATTGTTCACATTCTCCCTATCTCGCAGGCAGCATGAAGGATAAAGAGAAGAAAAATGAGGATAGATGATATGGGATACTTTTGCTTTTGAAGAAGTAACTTTCCACAGGCTTATTCTTGAACTGGGCTGGAGGGTTTTCTGGTTTCCTCCAGAGTATAAGGCCGACTGAAGAATTTGAGGGTCAAAACAAGTCCATTAAATCTAGAGTACGTTCGACCCTGCTGATATGGGATACTTTTGCTTTTGATAGAGTAGTGGATGTATCGGCACGTGTGCTGTTACGCTTGTCTCCACATGCTTCCTTGTATCCTTCTCACTTGCCCTATCTGTTCCTCAGGCAGATGCGGTATCTTCCCTGGAAGCATAAGATGTTCAAGATGAGTACTCGAGAGCAATGCCAGGTAAGTAATCAGGTAAGGGGTTCCAGGCAGTCAGTTCCTGGCTGGAAGCTTGATTCCAAGTGCTGACTGATTGCTCTCTTTCTCCTTGTCTTGCAGGTAGGAACAAGGCCAAAGGAAAAGACAGGGAAAAAGCATGATATGGGATACTCTTGCTTTTAACCCTGATGATATGAGATAATCTTGCTCTAGTATAGCTTGTTTACAGAGGTATTATCGGGGGGAAAGAAAGCTGAATATTTCGAAAG